AAAAAAAATTAATGTAAGAAACATTTTCCACAGGGATACTTGTGTTGTATTTTGTCCTTGTGGGGTGGGGGAAGGAGATGGGGAGAAGAGAGGAGATCTTCTAGATCATTTAGCATTGACCTCACCTTACATTTTTATAAAACTATGTTCTTTACTTCCAAGGTTACCACAAATTTATTCACTTTATCTTTGGAAGTGGCCCCCAATTTCCCCAAGGGGAGGACATGAACCCATACTATCCAGTGCAAACCATGTACACAGCTCCCTTAAGTGTCCAAAAATAGAATCACAATCAGCTCATTACTCTAGCCTGAAGTAGTTTCTATACATTTTAATTACTCATCTGTATTCTTAATAACATTATTTCTAAACTGTATACTAACTTTTTGTATTTCCCAGCTTAACTTGGGTGATCAGGTTCTAATTTTTCTGGATTCACTCTTGGTTTTCTACGCTCTTCACAACCTTGAATACACCTGGTGCCTCTGAAATTCGAATTTACCGATCAGCACTCGACAGATGGGAAAATCTGTACTGTCCTGACGTCGCATGTTTGTTCACAGAAGAGGCAGTCAAGTTTCCAACTGGAAACTGTATTCACAAAAAGAGATTTGAAATGCCAGAAATCATAACAGATTTAAATAAATGAAAAATATGAAATAGTTTGCACTTCTATGCTTTAAATTTGCCACCAGAACAGGGTCATCCGAAACTGGCAAACTTGCTCTTTGAGTGTAGCTGAATAATGGTAGAAGCTGAATAATTATTTTTGTTGAATGAAAATCATTTGGGTTGAAGTTAAACAAATATTGTTGTTGAATGAAATTATTTTTGGTTGAAGTTGAACAAATATTTTTGTTGAATGAAAAGAATTTTGGTTGTAGTTGAAAGAAAATGCGTATTGTTGAATATAAATATAAAATGTTGAATATAAATATATGTTAAGGTGAATTAATCAACATGACACGAGCATGGGACAAAGAAAAAGTAAAATTCTGAGTCCCCGACAGGAATCGAACCCATGACCTCCCGGACACCGGGCGGGCGCTCTATCCACCGAGCTACGAGAACTCATGGAGAGCAAGGTCATTTAACTGAGTTCA